GAGAGAGAGAGAGAGAGAGAGAGAGAGAGAGAGAGAGAGAGAGAGAGAGAGATGAGGTTGATGATGTGAGGGCACTTACCTGGTCTTGGCGACGGTATACAAGGGTCGACATCTTCATGTACTTCGGTTCTGCTGCTGATGTCAACTGGATGCATTGTCAATTCGTAGCCTGCTAGTAGGCTGTGTGATAGTAGTCTGGGCACTGAGCGCCAAGTAGGAGGAAGGACTCTGGATACATATGTTGGTGGTGGAAAGAGTGTACTCTCATTGACATTCGGATTCAGTGCTTTGGCTCTCCGTTGGTGGAATATCAGTGCATTTCTGGTTTCTAGACAGCGTTGGACTTGCTGGTTTTCAATGTGATTTTGCATTCTGGATTTCTGCCATATCACTATATCTCATTTTTCTTGCATTTGCCTGTTGTTCAACAGTTCTCCGGACTTCTGTGGGGCTGTGTTATGCCAGGTCGTGTGTGCTCCCTGATGTTCATTGATTGGCAAGAACTGGGTGTAGCAGCCTTTCAACCATTTGTCTGAGAAGACTGCTTCTTCTACAGCCATTTGTCCGTGAAGTCAGCTGTTTGTAGTGGGAATAATAACCACAGTATGGCCCATGCCGTGTAGGTTACCTTTATCACCCTTGCTGTTTGCCTTGCACATGTCTCACATGCAGAGAAAGGGTCCTGATCTTGGTGTCTACATTCTGGATATTTACTAGGGTGGGATGTCCTCTGGGGATCCTGAGAGGCTACTTTTGAGATATGTTTCTGACTAATGGCATGCTATGTCAAAGGCTGCGCCTGCTTGCTACCTGAACTTCCTTTTGGTAATTTGTATTCAGTTGGGCGAAGGAAGATGTTTGTTGGACATCTTTTCTGTGGTTCTGAAACTTTGGGCCTATGCTGTTGTTTTGTGTTATTCATCTCACAAAATGCTGGAATCTGTGTGTGACCCATGCTTTCCCTTCATCAATCAGTGCACTTCCCTTCTCTTCACAATTTCTTTCTGAAGGATGCTAATGTTCTTACCTGAGGTTTCGTAATGCAAGGGGTGGTATGGAGGACATAAATCTAAGCATGAAGTAGGCTTGTGGTAAGGAGCAAGAGGAATTTCATCCGTACGCTCTTGGGGTGCGACATGGCATCATGTGGGGAGGCGATGAGTAACCACAATGGAGACGAGCATGGAAGCGAGGTAGTGCTGACGGATGCTTCTCAGCAGCATGCAGAAGAAGCCCATGCATCACAGCTGCATGAAGCGGGCAAGCTGCTGACCGATAAGGAGCATCATCAACCCCTGAGCAATCAAGTGTCAGATTCCACAGGTCAGGGAAAGCAATCAAATAGGAATTTGCAGGGTCCAGATGATCCGGTTGCCCCAGAGCAAGGTACCCTGGATGGGGGCAGAGAGAGCACGCAGGCTGTGTGGCAGAATACGCTGCAGTCAAGGGTTCAAGTGTCAGAAACACAGTGCATACTCAAGCATCCCCTGGGACCGTCAACGCCACCATGCATATTCTGAACAAGGACATGCAGGCAGATCAGGATTCGGAACAGCAGCAGCAGCAGCAGCTTGGCCATGGGGCTAGGAGGGTTGAATTGGTGGTTTCCCAGCAACACTCCTTGGAAGACCAGAGTCAACCTGTGTCTGCCTCCTTGCCTTCTCTTTCTCTTCACGCTCAGCTTCCTTCAGCTCACTCCTTCACCCCCACCTCCTGCTCCTCCTGTTGGGTATATTTCCCAGTTGCAGCTGCAGCAGAAGCACCAGTGTGACCCACAAGGTTTCCCTGAGCAATCCCAATCTCAGCCGTCGAGGATGCTTAGCACAGCTTCACCGTCGAGTGCTGGCTCATCTGTTGTCTCTTCTATGGCATCAGCAGTGGTGCCGCCAAGCTCGCTAAAGAAGCCACGGCTTTCTTCTCTCTTGGAAGGGGAATCGATTCGAGGAGCAAGTGCCCCAGGGAGCTCAGGGACGGCATCGATGCAGGCTGGTTATTTGCAAGGATTTCCGGCAACAACTTCAGGGCTAGTAACCCTGAGCCAGTCACCTATGCCAGGCAATAGCTCATCTGCTGCAGCTTCTGTTCCTCTCACATCTATCCAAGGTCAGAGCAGAATCCCTGATCCAAGTCGTCACGAGGGATTACTTATGGACCCAACGCCCAAAGGAGAGGGTCATTCGGAATCGAGTTCATGGAGGCCCGTCTCAGCGCCCTTGGCGATGTCCACAGGGGCCAGCCCAACGGTACAGCAATCTTTCAATACTTCTGCACGGGTGACTGGTGCTGTAGTGCCTTCTGCACCAACAGGGATGTCTGCTGCCGCCTCTATTCCACTCTCAGGTGTGGAGACCAACCCTGCAATGAAGGGGACCTCAACTAGAAGACCTTTAACATCTATCAGCACAGTTCCAAGCCTGCATATACACCCCCAGCAGCAGCAGTCGGCTCCTTTAGGTCGACAGGAGTCAGGTCAAGAGCAGCCAGATCAACAACCCAAGGATACCACATCAGTACAAGATCAGTGCCTCAAAGTTTTGCCGTCCAATCAGCCTTCTCCTCTTTCTCAGCATACAGCTGCTCACTTGCCTGTGCAGCAGCAGCAGCCTCTGGCATCACAGCAGCCTGTTCCTCCTTCACTGCAGGCGCAAAGCAAGCCCTCTCAGGAATTCGCTGCAGTGAAACAGCTGGTGAAGGATCTCAGCGAGCATCTGAAGCAGGATGGAAGTGACAGATCACATGCTGCATATGTGCATGGTGTACAAGCTGTTGCTTCAGTCTCAGGTGGTCCATCAGCGGGGGTCTCCACTATGCCGCAGATGCAATGTCTGAAGAGAGGTCAGGTACAAGGGCCTGCTGTAGCAAAACAACAGCAGGTCCATCAGCAGGCACAGACTATGGGCAACGCCTCCACAGAGGCAGCAGCCGCAGAAGCAGCCAGTCTGCAACTGAAGTCGAAGCAGTTATCCTTCCATCAGCAACCCATGCTTAGTCAGCTGCGGCAACAGGGGACACCAAGCCAGATTCCGGGCGAAGCAACGACTGGTGAAAATGCACCGATGCGACCATTCCCAGGGCATCAACCAGGTGGAATCGGATCCGTTCAACCTCAGCCACAGCTCACAACATCAGCACTTGGTAATCAGCTGCTATCAGTGATTCTTGCAACCCACCGGCAGGATGCAGCAAGTGTGCAAACACAGCAGCAGCTGCTGCAACAGCGCAGTGTCAAGCAGCAGGCTGGATTAGGGCAGTCGAAAAAAATATTTCAAATCGAACAGCAACAGCCGCAACAACAAGCGGTAGGGAAGGCTGATCAGCAACTGACGGCTGGTCTGAAAGTGCATGGTTTTCCAAGTCAGGGACAGGACAAACCGTCCGAGCAGCCACAGGTAGAAAAGGCAGGAGAAGTCCCGAAGCCTGATCAGGCCAACCTGCATCCTCAAGCCCAAGTCACACCGCGCCCGATATCTTTTTATCCTGCTGATGGTTTCCAAGGACTATCAGAAACCATGAGGGATCCACAACAAAGTGAGGTAGCGGCAGGCCAACGCCAACCTCAACATGGAGTGAGTCAGCAGCAGGGAAAGGGCCTCAATGTCTCAGTATCTCAACAAGCAAGACCTGTTCTGGCGATGTCATTCTCGAGATTTATGTCAGGAGGAGGAGGATCTCAGCAACAACACAAGCAGCACCAACAACATTTGTTGCCCGTGGCCCACCCATCTCATGCTTCGCACCAGAAAAATCCACGAGGCGGTTCTCAAGGTGGTGTAGGTGGTGCTGGGCTGCATGGCAGAACACAAGCTGGAGGCCAGGGTGTTGCGGCAACACCCCAGAGCGATGATGCAAGCCAGGCAGAGATCCTAGGCAAGAGGAGCATTCAAGAACTGCTTGCACAGATTGAACCTTGTGAGAGGTTGGACCTGGATGTGGAGGATGTCCTCCTTGAGATTGCGGATGACTTCATTGAAACAACAACAACTTTTGCATGCGCTTTAGCACGCCATCGAAAGTCAACAATGCTAGAGGCAAAGGACATTTTTCTACACTTGGAGCGAAACTGGCACATTGTTATTCCTGGGTTTGCTGGGGAGGAATACCGACCTTATCGTCGGGCACCTGTCAGTGAGGCACACAAACACCGGCTGTCGCTTGTGAGAAAGTCACAGAGCATGCACACCCACCATGATGGAACCACGGGAGCCAAAGTTCTGGGTTCCTTGGGCGCTACCGGGGGGGGCGGTGGGGGCGCAGCTGGGGCTACTCCCTCCTTGGTTCCATCTCTAGGAGGAGGAGGAAGAGCCGGTGGCCCCAGTGCGGGCGCTTCTCCTCCTGGAAAATCTTTCCAGGGCGGGATGGGCACTGGGCACACCTCTTGAGGAGCAGTTACCAAGTCTCTGTCGCCAGCTGCAAAGGTGGCTCGCTTATCTTGAGAACATCGTACATGTAGAACAGGAGAGAGAGAGAGAGAGAGAGAGAGAGAGAGAGAGAGAGAGAGAGAGAGAGAGAGAGAGAGAGAGAGAGAGAGAGAGAGAGAGAGAGTTAGAGAGTTTCGGATATTGCAGAATCTCTACACTCGTAGTACAGCGTACCTTATCCGGTGTGCAATCCATGCGTTTTAGAACTCGATGCAAGCAAGCACCATAGAGGGGGGAAATAAGGCTCCATGAGAAAGTCTGAGGAGGTACAAATATCTTCATTGTCCACTACCGTCTTCACCCGAATAGAACACCCGGTCATTATCGCTGTATCTGAATTGAAAGTTGCCCCAAATACACAGACTTAATGACCGGGCATTCTATTCAGGTGAAGACGGTAGGAGGGAAGGAAATCTGAGCGAGTCTCTGTTTAATCAAGCATTGGCCACAGAGGTAAGGAGAGGGGAGGGTGAGGAAGGGGCACCGGGGGGAGAGAGAGAAAGAAAGAAAGGGGACAGATGAGGAGAGCGAGGCTGGTGAAGGTAATCAACTGATTGATGGATCTATTACATATATGAACAGTTCTATCAATCAATATGTATTATGTACCCTTGTAATCCCTTATTGATATTTGGCAGTTCAGATATGCATTTGGTCAATCGGAGACTTGGCAGAACTTAAGATTGGTAGATATGGAAACTTTCTCTGTGTAATCGAATTCGAGAGCAAATGTTCCGTGATAAAGAACTTTGATTGGAGAAGAAGATACGACATCGATAATATGAAGGGTGTGCGTAGGTAAGTGTGCACATGAGCTATTTCTCAATCAAACGTGAAGTAGGAATTGATGAATTATGAAATTTTCAGAGACAGGTGAGCGGAAGAGACATACTGCACAAGGAAATTACCACGAAATTGCTTGACGAATTCAAATAGGCCCGTGAAATAAGAATCATGGGAATTTTTTGCTCAGAGTTTTATTGCATGGCAGTGTCTCCGGAACAGAGCTCTACGGTCATTATCACCGTATCCAGACTCAAAGTTGGCCCAAATACAGGCATAAAGACGGTAATGTCTTCTTAGAGAGAAAGTAATGTTGGCAAACGAAAGAGGAAAATGGCAGAATACTTCTTAAGTCGTTCTGCAAAGTTTTATTCAAAATTTCAAATAAGGATTAAAGAAGAATTGGCCGCAATATGATCGGAAATTTTCATGGCTACACCGGACCTGGACACTGGAACAATCGCGAAGTCTGCCCAGCCCTGTGTCTGGATGGCTCCAGACTGCCCACAGGGAACACCCCCCCCCCACCCCAAAAAAAGGGGGGGGAAATCGCTTTTATTTTTTTTTGCCTTGTATTTGGCTGCGAATTCTGAGATGATCCGCAGGGAAAATATTTTTTGTATTGCAATGCTTCATAACATATCTTATAATTCTTTTTTCTTTTTTCTTTTTTTTTCTTTTTTAACAGAACCCCTCGGTTCTGGCTCCTGCCATTCTGGGGAGCAACAGTCCGGTTCCTATTCCCCCGGCAAGTCAAATATGAATAGAGTAAAGACACACACACGCTCCTCCCCATTATGGCTGAGAGGCCCGAGTGGACGACATTGATTACTTCCCTGGGCAAGGATGTATCACCCCTCACCCCTGCCTAAGCTAGCCAATATCCACTTCCGCCTGATCCTATGAGTCGCCTAGCTCCTAGCTCCTCTCAGCTAAGTGCTGTCAGATAAACCTGAACGCTAGAGCCGATGTCTGGAGCTGACATCTAAGGTTTTTGCTAAGGATTATTTCTTATGCTGCTCTACCTGATCATAACAAGACAACTCATGTGAACTTGTTCCTTCTTGACTTCTATGGGTTTTTTATTCTCTAACCTTCATCCCTCACCGCTGTTTCTACCTTTGGCCTTCTCTTAAACCCTAAACCCTAGACTTTTCGGGTCATCTTTTTTTTTTTTTTTTTTTTTTCCTTAAACCGTCCTTTCCATTTATACCAATCCCAGTTCAACTGTCTGTGACTGGACTTGATTTATTGACATGAGGTTGTCTGTCTCCTCCTGTTGGTCCCTCTGTTGGGTCCCTGCAATTTTCCAGACTAACCTTGGCGTGTTGCCCTCTATGTCTCCTATCTTCCCTTTTCCGAGTTTCTCTTTTTTAAACTTATCGACAAAATCATGTTGGCTTGTAGGGTCTAATTTTATGAGCTTCGCCACTTTATGCCAATCTGCTTGGTATTCGTCCTGTAGTAGGTGAAGGAAGATCTGCCAAGCTTCTGGCTCTGATATAGCTTGAGAAGTTGTAGTTTCCTTGCACCTTCTTTTCCATATTATCCACAGAGTAAGAGGTCGGAGTCTCCGAAAGAACGTCCTTTGCCACGCCGAGGTTAAGTTTGGCTCTTGCAGACCAGTTAGCCGTGTGATGCTGTTACCTGGCAGGGTTGTTCCTGTTAGAGAAGCCCACAAGGCTTCTGTTTTCTTCCAAATGTCGGTCGTCTTTGAACAGGACAGCAGGCAATGTAGTAGGTCCTCTGGGACTCCCTCATGACAGATAGCACAGATGTCATCTAGTGGGTGTCTATCCCTTCGTGAACGTCGTCTGCTCAACCACTTGTTGACTGGAAGTGCGTGGTAGAAGATGAGCCATGGAATACTTCTGATGCGGGTGTTTCTGATTGCCAACGGAACTTGCCATGAGATTTGAGTCCCGGTCCCTAATCCTCCCGGAACATGCTTCTGCCATCTTGTTAGAAGTGTGTCGCTTGTGTTTACTGATCTCTTCCGAAGTTTGTATCCAACCCTCTAGGATACTCATTCTGCGTTCTACCGTTGTTTAAGCAGAATGGGTTTTCCATGCCCATTCTGCCGGGTCAAATTCAATGTCTTGCAACTCCTCTGTGGGGTTGAAGATTCTATACTTGTCGTCCTCAATCACTCTCACTTTCCTCACTGCTGACAACCAGGCCGTTACTTTGGCTACATTGACCACAACGCCCATTGTCTTGCCGGACCTGTGTACTTGACAAAAGATAGAGCCCCTGTCGGGATAGCTTCCCACGGGGGGAGAGAGGTAGACATGGTGGAGGGAATGCAGATACGTGGTTCTAGCTGACCAAATCTGCCATGTCAGTGCACGAGACCGTTCTCACCGGGCGAGTATGAGGGAACGGTCTTGCCACTCCGCAATGTCGCATGGATGGCGCGATAATCTGGGCAGTGGCGGTACAGAGTGCGATATGCGTCGATCACCGACTGATCAACAGTGGTGATGGACTCGGAGATGGCAACAAGATGGATGGGTTCCTGATTGTGATGAAGACGGCGGGACAAGGTATCGGCGACGCGGTTCGTTTCACCCTTGATGGGCTGAGTGGTGAAACTGAACTCGGATAAGTCACGCCACCAACGTGCTTGTCGAGGGGAAAGCTTGGGTTTCGTGAGGAAAGCGTGGACAACTGAGTTGGCTGTGCGCACCGTGAAGGGCGCCCCGTGCAGGTAGTGACGCCAATGCCGGGTAGCATAAACTACTACGAGAACCTCACGTTCATCGGCAGTGTAGTTTATCTCGGCAGACAGTAGCTGATGGGAGTAGAAGGCGATCGGGCAATCCCCAGCATGAGCCTCAACAGTCCCATCCTCCGCGATGGTCGGGGAGTAGGTAACGGGAGGACTGTCAGTGGAGAAAAGTGGTGGGAGGGTGGGCGTCGGTCGAGAAGCAGTGTCAGCAGGAGGGGAGGGGAAGGGAGGAACATGGGGATAAGATGAATCCGGAGGAGAGGGAAATACCTGAGAGAGGACAACTCCTACTGCAAAATCTGCCGCATCGGTGGTGACGATAAAAGGGCGATCGAAATTGGGGAGGCGAAGAACCGGCGCACAAGTCACGACCTTCTTGAGGGCACGAAAGGCGTCCTCGCACAAGGGTGTCCAAAACCACGGCGGGTTCTTCCAGAGGAGGGTGGAGGTAAGGACGTAGGAATACCTAGCGTATCCCCGGATGAAATTACTATAGTAACTAGTGAGGCCGAAAAAACTGCGAAGTTGCTTGGCAGATGTGGGGACGGGCCACCCTGCAATAGCAGTGATCTTCGCGTCGTCCATGTGGAGACCCTGGTCAGACACATGGTGTCCTAGGAAGTCCACTTTGCTCTGGGCAAAGCAACACTTACTAAGCTTGGCATATAAATCATGCTTGCGTAAGCGCTGTAGGACATCGCGGAGGTGTCTGAGATGGTCTTCTAAGGTACGACTATAGACCAGGATGTTGTCCAGGTATACGAGAACGTATTCTTCGAGGATGTCCCTGAAGATGCCATTCATCGCCATCTGGAAGGTGGCGGGTGCATTGGTGAGGCCGAATGGCATCACCGTGAACTCGTAGTGGCCGAAGCGCGACCGAAAGGCGGTCTTCGATTGGTCCTCTGTGGCTACGCGGATCTGGTGGTAATCGCTACGAAGATCGATCTTCGTAAAGAAGCGGTTCCTTGCCAAACGGTCAAGCAACTCATCCGCGCGAGGCATGAGATAGTTGTTCTTAACCGTGTAACGGTTAAGGCCGCGGTAGTCGACGAAGAGGCGGAGAGTTCTGTCCGCTTTGCGAGCAAAGAGGACGGGTGCACCCCAAGGGGAGTTACTTGGTTTAATGAAACCCAGTCGAAGGAGCTTCTCAAACTTACGCTTGAGTTTTCGTCGCCTCTGGAATCGAGAGTCGGTAGGGTGCCTGATGGTGAACACGATAGTCAGGCACGAGCTGGATAGAATGTTCAACACCACGCATGGGAGGGATCCCGCTGTATGAGAAATACGGGGGGGAAACGTCGCGGTATTCTTGAATCAAATCGAGAACGGCGGGCTATAAGTCGGTCGTGAACCGCATAAGTTCCTCAACGTCTGCGTCAGCACGAGACATATGGGTGGACTCGGCAGTGATCGGCGAAGGGACCTGGGATGTCGAGGGGGTATCCGCAGGATGACGGGTGGATGTGGAGATGTGAGCCGCGAAGATGGAGGAAGGGTCAGGGGGATCGGGCTTCAATGAGATGAGCTCAACCTCTGGACATAGTGGATTGTAGCGAAGAAGATCCATGACGTTCACTGAGTAGAACGTGACGTGAAGTGAGCAAACTGACGAGGAGAAGTGAAGGTCATGTCTGGGTGGGACCCAGATGGACGAGGGTCCTGGGGGGGTAGGTCTGGAGGGGTGTTGCCCGTGGTTCCAATGAAGGACACTCGATGGGTTTGACCACACTTCGTTTTGAGAACGACTGTCTCAGTTGCCCATTCGGCCTCTGTGCCACGGAACCGGCGAGACCAGGGAGTGCCAAGGATAAAGTCGTACCCAGTCTCCAACACGTCGAAGTATGCGGAGGAATGGTAACGCCGAGGTGCCTAGATACTATCCGATGGCTGGAAGGTGAGGGAAAAGTGGAGATCAGGGACCGTTTGATCGAAGAA